TCATTTATCCACCTAATGCAAAATCATCAATGAGCTACCTAATCATTGATATTGTGGCTGCAGTGAAGCGACCTGATATGCCCAAGTTGTTACAGCAAATGTTTGGATGAGGACTAGGATTCGTATGGGATCCTGGGATCCCAGCCTTTAAATCCTGCTCCTGAGATTGATGCTTTGAAAAACCATAGGATTTCATGATTTGATAAGACAGGACATCTTATGAAAATTTGATAGTTTGCTCATGTTGAACTAAGTAGCGATCATTCTCAGTTCATGCATGATTATTGTTTGCTACACAAGTCGTAATGAATGGATGAATCGTTGTTATACGATAACGCCATCGTTACGTAAGGCATTGAACAAAGTAATGCCAGCACTTTTGCTTCGTCTTTCATTATCACCGTTATTCTTTCGTGCATTCCTGATCGTTTTTCAATTTCGGGATTGAGAAATGGTCACGGCATTCAAAAGATCATGCAAAGACGAATAACAAAGATTGACCGAAGAAGTTCAGAAAAAAATAGAGGAGAAATAAAAATTCTGAAGTTCAGAAAAAAGTAGAGGAAAAATAAATTCAGAGGGGAAAAATAAATTGCTCTAAATAAGTTAGTTTCCTATCAGAATCACTTTCTTCAGTTGAAAATGGGTTCGTTGACCGGTCTTATAATGGAGCATGTGAAAACTAAAACACCGGTACAAGCAGACGGTGAGTAGTGATGTTCAAAGCATCATCTCTTCTATTCTTGTTTTACACAACTTTCTTGAATTGTGCTTTTGATAGGATGAGTAGAACCTGACTGCACATAATTGGAGCATAATTTTGCAGCAAGCAATCAGAATTCTCACTGAAGAAAATGTGTTTCTGAAATATAACAATAAAAATTGTTTATAGGCACAATATTGGTAAATGCAATTCGTCGACCTGATTACTATATTTTGCATGATCACGTTGAATTAAAACGGAAGATCGGCGGAGGAGCGTTTGGTGAGGTGCATTTTGGTGTTTTGAGAAAGACTGACGGTACCTTGGAAGACGTCGCGGTTAAGACACTTAAAGGAATGATGTCAAAAAAACAACGAACTCTCTTTATGCGGGTAGTTGCTTGATACTACTTGTTAAAAAGCAATACCATGCAAGTGTGATGAAGGATGCACAACGCAATTTGTTGATTTATAACAATGATGAGTATATAAATTTTATGCTCGATTCGATGAACACAAAAGTCGTGGAAATCTGTAAAAGATGGCTCGAGAGCTCAGTAGCGATAGAAGAACGGCTTTTATTTGACCGCTGAAATTTTGGAGAAAAATTTTACTGAAAAAAAGCATCAGAGAGATTGAGTCCTTGTGGGAGGTTATGAGGCTGAAATGAACTCCCGTCCCGCTCATACCAGATTTTTGTTATGCTGCTCTATAAACGGAACCCCAGGTCGAAACGCTCGAAACGCTCCCAGAAATAGTTAAGCGTAGTGGTGGTATCCAAACGAAATTTCTCAGATTTTACCGATTCTCAGATTCGATCGGTAACCATCACTAGTCAAGGGCAACGTAATCACCGTATTATCTAAATAAGCGAAATTTCATGATCGCACACAATCGATCTGATTATGTAATACTAAATTTCACCTCATTCTCGACTGATCATTCGCAGGAAGCCAAATTGATGCGAGGATTCAATCATGCGAATATCGTGAATTTTCTTGGTGTTGCACCTCAAGAAGACCCTGTCATGATCATACTCGAATTATGTCCGAATGGAGCGTTAAATGCAAAGCTAAAACAAAACCCCGATATACTCACCTCAAAACTTGTCGATTACGCAATTGATGCGGCTCGTGGTATGGTCTACCTCTCGGCCCGAAAAGTTCGTTCGTATCATTTCAACAATTTCAATTTTTGCTTACTCATATTTGATATTCATCATTTGTTAAGGTTACTTTTTGTTAGCTTAACTGATTCGTCACTTAAGTTAGTTTTTTCATTATTAACATCATCAATCTCATTATTATTGACATTA